GGATGATTCAACGAAGTTTGCAGTATGTTCACATCAATCTTGCTTCGCCGATTGGAACCCTTACTTTCACAAATGTTACGTTGCTACTTATATTCCCGAAAGTTTTTTTCGGAGCCGGTTAGTCCGTAACGCCCCCACAGACTATTCCATTTTTGAAAGAGGTCTTTAAATCCGAGTTTGTTCATTTTGGGTGGTTTGCAATTGTCTTTCCTCTGGGAGGACAGTTGGAATAAACAGCCTCTTTCAATAAGGAGCTGAAAATATTCCAATTGTCGTTTGCTCGAACATCCAGTTCAGTCTCCCATAATACCGCTGTCGTTTCTCTCCTCATGAGGGAACGTCCCCTTTCCGAACGTTTCTCTCCCACCTGTCAGGTAGAGCGGATTTGGAAAACAGTAAGTGCTCAACGTAGAGCGTGATATGGTCGATTGATCCTAATGGCGGTCGGTTCTGCAGGTCTAACACATTTCCTCATCTCGGGTAAAAATAAGATCAAGGCAGTTCGACTGCTGTCCTTTCCTAACCCGCGTTCCAAATGTAACGTTCTGGCAGATACGTTTGTCCGTTGCCCATTGTAGTAGTTTGTGATTAAAGCTGTCTTGCGGCCCTTGTGCAGTCCATGTTTGCCAGTCAGTGCCAGGGATGTTGAAATACACAACGATAAGGACATCTTTCTTCTTACTAGCTATTTACATTTTAGTTTTTAGCGTGAGATCTTGGTCAGAAGTCTGGTTAGTGGAGCGGTACACAACCGAAAGTGTCAGTGGTCGGACATTCTCAGCGGAGTAATGCTTAACAGTTCCACATCCCGTACCAGACTATGTACATCAGCTATGGCGGACAGCTTGCAGGTGACATAAAGCATGACTCCTCTTCCCTGGCTTAGTCTGTCTCTCCTGAATTACTGATATCCCATAAGGGATACTTCTGAATCTGCGACATCTTCAGTAAACCATGTTTCTGTGAAAGCCATAATATCCGACATAATTTCTTCAACTAAATCCCTTACTTCGTCAAGAGGCTTCGTACATTTGTGAAAATAACCTTCAAGGATTGTTTTTTCGAAGAGGCCCGGCCTTCATTGTGACAGGTTTTGACCACAGAAATGGCTCCTCGGTCTGGAATATTTGTTCATTTTTGATCTTCAGTCCTTTCTCTACTCTGCCAATTCTCCCCCAGAACTCTGACCTCAGTTATCTCATTTTCAGTCTTTTTATCGGCTCGTTGTCTGGTTGAAAAACAGTTACTTGTGTGAGCTACGCAGGTCGTCCTATCTTTTAACAGAAGCGCCGTTTGGGCTTCATTTTCTGAAATAGTTTAGGGGTCTGGGGGTGTTTTTAGGTCAGGAAGACATTTTTACGGTGAATGTTTCCCCATCCTTCAGGACGGCACTGGCGTATTGATGAAGAAGGTCTAGGTCATATATCTTCCCTTCTCTCTGAATGCAGGACAAGAAGGTGAATCGCGAATAGCTTCATTCTTAGGAAGGAGGGGACGCAAACCTCCTGAGCCAACATGATGACCAAAAGTTCAAGGGCAGGCGCGTACAATCGCACTTGAAAGGATTACTATTGACACTGCACTTGCTGAAGCTATTAAACACCGGGGCTAGGTGTTGGACGTGTTCTTTAGCATTTTACTAGCCATTAAGTGGCCATCAGTGCAAGCGCACACAAAAGACAGACCAAATAAGACAATGCTGGTTGACCTACTGAACTCCATATGACGGTAAAAGGCTGAGAGACACGTGGAGAAATTCGAAGAGGCAAAAGGCTGTAATGTCGGCTGTTTCGGGGATATCAACCGCGACGACAGATTTCAGATAGAAGGCGTGGATTAGGCCGACCTCCAAGAAATTAATTTTGTCGAAAAGGACTCCTGAGAAATCCTGAAAATGAGACCATGGTAGCAATCGGGGATGGTGGCGTTGTTGAATATACGACTGTTGCCATAGTGTCGCCAGTGGCCCAACGTCATCTTGAGCACTTTGTGCAGAGGGACGCCCAACGAGCCCCCGGACGATCGAATGATGGCAAGTTGCTGCCTGTGCCCGAACTCCGCCTCCGCGGCCTTCACATGGACCGGCGTCAGTGGTCTGAGCCGAGTGAACACAGGAGGGTTAGAGGTGAAGAAATGGTGCACAACACCGTGTTGGACATCGGAACTACGGAACCAGTGGTGGGTGATGTACAAATATTGGGGGAGTAGCTGCCGATAAATGAAAGCTTTATATGTATTCGGAGCATATAACTTGCAGGTGGTTTTGAAGGGATTCAGTGCATGAACAGATAGGCCATCTACAGTAATGATTTTTTATTAAAGACCCGTCGGAGTCCTGTCAAAGAGTCGGACAGTCGGTAGCGCCGGCAGCCTATGAGGAAACCATTCGCGACTAGAATGTCCGAGTTGAGTTGCATGGGAGATATCAGCAGTCACTAAGGTCCATGTGGGCGGTCGGCAGAGACTGATGTTCAATGTAAGAGATAGGCTGCTGACATGGAAGTGGGGGAACGGTTGGCAGCTTGAAATTGAAAGCCAGGGTTGGGTTTCGGCAGTCAGCCGGAGCGGGAGGGACCACAGTGACCTTGGCTCTGGTGTTCACGAAGAAACGTCTGCGAGTCAGGCTGTCACGAACGCAGAAGCTTCCACCAGTGTGGGAGGTGCCAGAGATATTGGCTACGCTGATCTTCAGGCTGGCCTGTTTCGCCCGTTGATTTTGCTTCAAGGCGAAAGCGTATGGAAATTTTCAGCAACGATCTCTTTTGCCAGATGAGGAATGATGCAAACAAGCGATAACTTTGCTGGGTCGTGATAAGGAAGTTCGTTGGCCATGCCGAGTGGATGGCATCGATGCTTCCCGGGATGAAAGACAGACTTACCGTTGCCTAAGAGACGCTAAATCTAGTGTAAGCACACAGAGGACACATTCGAATCTGATAAAATTGTACGTGAAGGAAGAGAGTGCATGACGAAACATGCATATTCGTCAGGCAGTTGGTTATCTAGGTGAGTTTGGTGGCTAGAATTATGTCACATTTCTGGTGGAAATTCGCTCATTGTCAATACCTGGCTATTGCACCGATTTCGATGGCAAAATGTGGCGTCCAGAAACAGCCGCTATTTCCCCAATTGCGATAATGAACAATACGAAGGTCCCCAATCAGGAGGTAAGGAAGACGATTAGATGGACATGCTTCCATTGGGGCAGAGTTCGTACATGCAGTATCATAGGCAATTGCTTCTAAAGTTCTAACCAGGTAATTTCCAACCTAGGCCCATGCGCTCGAAGTTCTTCCGGCTGCGGTTAGTTTCTGAAGAAGGAAATATCGCCCGGCGTCAGGGCGCCGCGAGATGGAATTTAGGTCACGTGCGTAGGCAGACCGATGAAGCATAGATATGCTGTGGCGCTGACGACCGTAAGAGGGCGTAAGTACAGTACCCCCAACAAGGCTGCATGCAACATGTGGCAACGCCGAAGGCCATTCCGTTTGTCCGCGAGGAGAACATTTAGTTCTTCAACGAACTTCGTTTCGTCAGCTCTGAGCATTGTGGGAGTAGAGGGACGCAGACACTGAGGACAGTGGCTAATTTGTTTCTCTGGATAATCAGGCTGTAATGAGACGGTTGTTGATTCTTTGCGGCAGACAGGGCTATCCCCCCGCGATATCGTTCCTAATGGCGCAGCTGACTCCAGCGTTACGTCGCTTTGCCTTTTTGGAGTCCACTCCAGATGGAGGTGTAACCAGTAACCACCTCCTTTAGGTTTTCCGTACCCAAAGACCGGGTCTGATTGAGAGCCACACACAGTCCACCTCGTAGAATGAGGATTTCCGAGAGAGTACCACTATCCCCCCTTCCGATTGTTTGTTAAATGACGTGTTTGTTCTGTTTTAACAACTCGCACAGTGGCATTAGCAAATTTTATCGACCGGAATATTTGGGTCGTGGATGTTAATGGCAAAGAAAAATGGATTTAAAATGATCACCGTGTTTGGTTTTGTTAACACAGGCATTCCTCGCTCGACTTTCTTTCTCACGATTCAGTGCTTCCACTTTTACTGTACCTGCCAGTCATCCAAAATATAATTTATTATCAAAGACAAGGAGGACTGGAATGGCCACTTCTGGCCTATTAGCCGTCGTCAGGCAGTCATACACAACCCCGTAGCATGAACACCTGGGGCTCTGTTCCGTGGGATGAAGCCCCAGTTGTTCCACAGTGCCTATAGTACGTGCCACTGTGCGGCTGCTGGTTGGACTCGAGAGAGGGCCCCAAGGTGCAGCGGGACGAGGGAGTTCCGTAACACGATCGGTGAGCGCCCTTTTACCACATCAGTCGTCGTAATAAATCTAGGCCTAGCATTAGTGATGGAGATCCTTTGACGCTCACACTGGATATCCGTTGAATACTACATAAATAAGCTTACGTTTACCGTCGACGCTGATCTTCTCAGATAGGCAAGCGCATCTAAAAAGTTCCTGATTTCTACGCAAATCTGATTACTGGACTCATTTACTAGCAATAAGGAAGTGTATGTGGCCACTCAAATATACACTGTACAGTTAAAATCAGACGACTATTTATTTTTCTCCGAACATGATAAAATTCTTATCTCCGCACATCCGTTGGATTTCTTCAATTTCGACATAATGTAGCTGCCCGGAATTCTGCCAGCGTGGTACGTGTTTACCGACTGTCTCATCAATGATTGGGTACTCACTGGCCAGTCGAAATTAAGAATAGTGTCACTATTTCCGCCACAATATCGCGGGCTGGTACGTGTTAGTTCTGGGCGATGAGTTCCATTGTGGATTGGTTGTTCGGCTCGGTCTCAAAAGTTTTGAATTACCTGGGCCTTTACCAAAAACACGGGAAGCTTGTATTTTTGGGGCTTGACAATGCTGGGAAGACTACGTTATTACATAGACTCAAGGACGACAAAATGGCTCAACCTGTACCTACTTACCACCCTACTTCAGAAGAACTTTGCATTGCTGGAATGAGATTTACAACTTACGACCTGGGTGGCCATTTACAAGCCCGACGAGTATGGCACAACTACATTCCTGCAGTTGACGGCATAGTTTTCATCGTCGATGCAAGTGAAAATGAGAGGTAAGCCTACCATCTTTTCAAAACATTTCACTTGAAGGTTTATGGAGGCAAAAAGTGAACTCGATAGCCTCATAATGGACCCACAAGTAGCAAATGCTCCCATCCTTATCCTTGGCAATAAGATCGACAAACCAACAGCTGTAAACGAGGCACTTCTACGGAACTATTTGGGCCTCGACGGTCAGCTAACGGGAAAAGGAACTGTACCCAGAGATCGAATTGCAAGCGGCCGTCCTATCGAAATCTTCATGTGCAGCATCCTTAAGCGACAAGGCTACGGCGAAGCCTTTAATTGGCTGGCCCAGTACCTTGACTAAGATTATCTTTCAGCCTTCGTTTTTTTCTGCATACTTGGTCTCTCTCATTGATCCCCTGCCTTAAGTACGAATTTCCGCCACTTCATAAATTACCTCTGTAACATATGCCTAAAGTCTTTGCTCTGAACTCCACCCTGACGCACCGAAAACCGCCCTTCGATTACCATTGATGTTTTAGGTTGGGTGCATGTACCATAACCGTTTAATAGCAGTTCGTTATCATGCCAGTGTTTTATTGCTCATTGTGATATGAAGCTATTCAGCCACTCGACTTACCCTTATTACAAAAGGGGGTGCATTTGTTTGGTAAGTCCTCCCGATGCATTCCGATGGTCACGGGGAGCTTTGTGCGCTATAATGTTGCTTACCTTGCACTGCTACCGAACGAAAAGCCCAACGAGGTGAAGACATAAGACATCACATAAAATTACTCGCTTTACGCTATGATGAGTTTTTGGTCTTTATGCAGTGCCTCTGGGAAGTGAGCCTGACCACCGTTTGCTCATCAAAGTTCAGACCTCCTGTAATGTGTTTATTCGGTTTCTCCGACCGTCCTTACCCTCCCACTTTATTTTTCACTAGAGTAAATAACTTTTTTTTATCATTTTTAACGCCTGCTTCTGTGGCACTAGGTGGTTTTTGCCGATTATGTAGTTCCTTCGAGAGCGAAAAATAAGAACAACAGACTTCTTTTATAGTTTTCTGTCAATGTGCTAACCTTATTTTGACATATCAGCCCTGGAATTTTCGGTCTTACTGATGCTGCTCTTAGCAAATTCTCTTTTTAACAGATTCTTTGGTAGCTATCTGTTCAGTCCTTCGCATAAGATAAATGAATGACTTTCCGACTAGATGAGATCAAGTCGCTAATTCATATCTGTCGGTTTTGCATCCATTTCAGGATGGTACTTTCCCTCTTGTATATGGTACATCTGTGGTCATGTCTGATCTAGCTGGCTGACTGTGCTTCGCGCATCGCTATCCGAGTCCGGGTCTGGAGGGCTCCACCAATTCTCCTCTTCAGCAACACAGACCGAATATCAAAGGTCAAAAAACCATCCCCATGTCTTGTCGGCCTGTGCTGCTCCGAGCACTGAGTCTGCTTCTTCGACGCCCCCCAGATTGGCTTCGACGTCGAGTTAAGGGCAGCAGCACTGAAGTCATGTGGCGGACGGTGATGTGCCCAAGCCACTCTTTGTGCCTCCCGAATGATCCGAGGTATCCATGTGGTGGTACCATAAAGAATGCGACTGGACATCAGTGCTTGATGCAGACAGAGCGGCATCGTCGGCGTAGCTCAGACCAGTCAGCCGGCGCCCGAGAGCAAGTTTGCTGTCGTCAAAAACATATAGGGTTTTTTCGAAAACCCAGTCAATGGCCGAGTTAGGCGGAATGGATCACAGACGATGACGTCGAAAACCAGCCCAAATGTCAAACAGTTAGGAAAGGTTTCGCGGATCAGGACACGCACAGAGGTAGGGTGACAGGAGTTCGTGATTATTGGTGATCTTTCCTGGCCACCGTCAGGTCCCATTATCAGCCACAAGGACTCACGATGAACGGGATCAGACCCTGTGATGAAATTAGCAAATCAGGTGGCAGTTGGTTGCTGACCGAAATGGCGCGATTCATAACGTACAGGCACATGGGTGACCGAGCCCCAGTCCCCACGAATTATCTTATATGCTCGCGCTTGCTCAACCACCTTATGGATCCAAGGTGCCGGTGTTTCGGTACAAGACTCATAGACTTCAACAAACGTGCCACCCTATTCTGCCGCCTTGTTACCCAGCACCAGTATTGCATCTACTCCCTCTTTCTGAGAAGAGGTTTTCACGGCACTGCATGGACTGGAAAGGCTTAAAACTCCGCTTCGAAGGAGTAAGGGAGTTATGACTGGTCATGAAACTGAAATGGTGCTCTAAGTACTCAAGCCAGCTCCCGACCTTGGCCAAGTTGTTAATAACGAATCCACCGCTCATACTGCGAACATTCACCGAGTACAAAAGGCCATCTACTAAATTGGTGAATAATTTGGCAATTTTCGAGTGTCATCGACATTTGAGGCGTGCTTCATACAGGTCGCCACTTCTGGTCAATCATTTTTCGCTCCTTTTTGGAGTTGGCTGAAGGAATAATCGTTCCGGGACATAGTTCGACTGGTCCGGGCAGATCACTGAATTTCTCGAAACGATACAGTCGTTGCAGCGCTTTCATGTGGATAATCTCGGCTGCCTCGCGGGCTACGACGAACATTTGCCACTGGCGTCTCGCATAACTCGAGTTGCAAGGTAAGAACGGATTTCTATGCTCACAACCTTGGACTCACTGGGTTGTGATTTTGCGGCATCAAGGCGTCTTGTGCGAGACATTTTGGACGCGAATGAGGTGCGAACTTTCAGCCATTTGCGTACAGGAACTTAGCCTGGCTCATAGGCGTGACCACTTTGGACATCACATATCAGTCTTTGGCCCTGAATTCAGCTGCTAAACCTCGAACTAATCAGAATGCAGTCGGTCTGACTCTGCATAGGACTGGCGTTCAAGCACCAGGTTAGCAAATGTTTGTGGTGTGGCCGAAGTCATTTGTTGGTGACAGCTAACTGATTGTGGTCAGCAAAGCTTCAAGTCTTTCACCATTGTCTTTTTGAGAACCAAACCTAAGTTGGTCAGTTGGGAGAGTTTACAGAGTCGCTTGGTCCGGTCCGCACATTCAAATCCTCGGCAACAACCAACAGATCACGGCAATTGGGTCTTTTAGCTCCTGCAGTACTGAGCAAGTCTTATTGTGGTTGTTAGCAGCTTTTGCTGTTATGCAGACGAAAACGACGGGGGTGTTAGTAAAGTGCCACTAGCTTTACGCAAGCCAGCCGCTCGTTTATTGGTTCACTTACAAAGGTTGCATAGTTAACCTGCTGGCAGTAGGCAGTTAACTCATAATGTTTCCAGGAAGAGTCGTTGGCGACTTTGATGGTGTAAAGTCGAGGATGACCTTCGGAATTTTGGTCCCATGGGGCATGAGCCGGGTACTGGCAGCGAACGTCCACTTCGACTTCGCGTCACCAGACTTTTGATGCCAAGGCCCAGGAACCTTTACATATTCCAGCATCGAATTTGAAGGGCCCGATCTTGGTTGGGTAGTCTGACTCGTCTACTGTTCCCCTGGCCCTCCAGATTAGGGTCGCAGATCGCGTCGGTCCACGCGGACGCTGTATCATGGCTCATTTTCGCGAGGTTTCTTGGGGATTTCGAGTACAGGCGGGTTCCCAGAAGCCATCTGGGCTGTTTGAAGTCCCATCTAGCGGTCTGTCTCATAAACCTAAGCACCGAACATCGGTGTGAAGTAAATTCGTTTGTTCGTAATTCTTGGTCTCTGTGACAGTGCCGTTATCGGGCTTTGCGGTATGTCGTTGGTCAGCGTACCAGACTTCAGCCGTTCTGTTCCGCGACTGCCTACTCGGTGGGCCCAAAACCTCCTATTACGTAGCCAACCTTCGCTGGAGGCTGTTCACCAAGTAACACCTACTGTCCGCCGCTTTCAGGCAGCGGGTGAACCCGTCCTCCCAGTTCATGGTAGCCCCTCCATCGTTATGCTCCGACTCCTTCCCCAGGAGTACATAACTTTTGGCTGCAGCTATATCCGCCGGCATTTGTGATCTGTTTGTTAGCTAGGTAAATGTTTAACACGGTTTTTATGCAGCTGGCTTCGTTACTTGTCAAATCCATCCCTAGTATCCCACTCAAGCTCTTGTCGATGTCTATTGATTTACATAAAACACATACCTATGGTCGCCAAGTAATTGGTGTACAATCATCAACCCAGGCTTCGTCTTGCACGAGTAGTGTGGAAAGCATTTCTGGGAACTGAAGGTTCGTTTTCACTGAAAGTAAGTTTACTGCGAGCCCATAAAACGAATAATTCACCTGTTCCATCGACCTTCAATAGCAAGGACATATAAAGTACTGGTATGCCATTTGAGCAGAGGGTTGCTTAGCAAATGTGTCATTATCATAGTTTCTACTTCTATTACTACGCAATTCACGTAAACAAGCGACCCTCTTCTACTTGTTGCCTCTAGCTGCTTATTCCCGGTATATTGGACCAACGCCCCCCAATTTATCTGTGCTACTGAGAAGTAGGTTCTTTTCTGAACAAAATGACGGTCTGACCATCGCGAATGATCATTTCTACTGTGTCGCACGGGATGACTTTGTGTCATGATTCACACCCGGTTCACGTTTCCTTCGCTGCTGAATTTGAGACTGAGCCGGCTGTTTTTGTTCAGAATGCATCCGAAGCTGATTGTGTGCGGCATGTCCATAGGGGTTGGCCCTGTTTACATCTCGCGCGGCTATCACTGGCTGGATGCCGTGCAGCACCTGACCACCGTGCTGTTTTTGGATAGGAATTACGAGCTCGCTCGTCGGTCTTATTAGCGAATTTGGCGCTTGTGGAGCTCTCACCTGCGCGCGTTTGCCATAACATTCTGCATGGATTTGCAGTTCTGCACAATGGGGCACTTTTTGTACGCATGTGTATTTCATCCTCAAATTACGACCATGGCCCTGCTGACGTGACATCATGCAATTCGATTTCCTTTTGACGTTCTAATTTAGCAAGCGCATGACGTTAACGGAGCGCTGGTGCTCGACCGTAGTTTGATTAAAACTGTAACATGTCCATCCATTCGTGGACCTTGACAATGCGGGATTAAGTCTTACACTTATCGTCGCAATGGCTAGACCTACTATTTTGACGTAAACAATGTATGTTAGGTGGTGGGCCTATGACTCACTGCGGTTGTTTGGTAGCGTGCTGAACACAACCATGTCTTTTGTTCCTATAGTTAGGGCGATGACGCCAGTTGAAAGAGCGAAACATTTACTCTCGCCGTGGTTATTGATCACAACTTCGCCGATGACGTTGACACCAACGCTATCGTAACTCAAACGGAATGAATGGGAAAAATGATTCGCTAGCCATAAGATGAAGGGTGGAG